ACGAAGAGAAGAAGAAAAAATTCATCAGTTCTTGATGGGGCTAGATGATGAGGGCTATGGAACTGCACGGTCAAATGTTTTGGCAACGGATCCATTACCCTTGTTGAATCGGGTGTATGGCACCATGGTGCAAGAAGAAAGGGTGAGAACAATCACCAGGTCTAAAGAAGAGCGAGGAATGATCGTGGGAATGGCTATGCGAGCGGAAACCAGGAACAAGTTGCGCAATGAAGCGAAAGAAAAATCAGCTTGTTTGCATGCAGTGTGGAAGGAAGGGACATGACAAAGGCAATTGCTTCAAGATCATTGGTTACCCAGAATGGTGGGGAGAGAGACCACGAACCGATAGAAACGATGAAAAAAATCAACAAAGAACAGGAACCTTCCGAGGAAAAGGAGGAACGGCTCGCGTCAATATGGCGCACACTGGTGCAGATAACGTTGGTTCAACCAAAAAACCAGAAGTCGCAGGACTGAGTAATGAGCAATGGCAGATCTTGACAGCAATGTTGAATTCTCGCAAGGCAAATGAAACTGAAAAGATGACTGGTAAGAAAGCATGTGACTTGTGGATTATTGATAGTGGTGCCTCTAATCATATGACAGGAACACTAGAAAACTTGAGGGAGAGTCGAGCCTTGGAAGGGTGCCCAGTGGGACTACCAAATGGTGAATTGGTGCTGGCAAACAAAGAAGGATCGGTTTTCCTTGATGGAGGACTGAAACTTAAACATGTTCTATGTGTTCCGAAATTGAATTGCAATTTGATTTCAGTATCACAATTGATCGAATGAAGTAAAATGTACAGTACATTTTACCTGATAGATTGTGTGCAATGCAGGACCACACTTCGAGGATGCCGATTGGAGCGGGTGAACGAAAAGAGGGACTCTATTGGTATCGTGGTGTGAGTGGCATAAAGGCGTATCGGACCAATGCGGAAAATCAACTAGAGATTTGGCACAAGCGAATGGGACATCCCGCCTACCAGATTGTTAGAAAAACTCCGCATCCGAACGACGTGAATAGAAATACGGATACAACTCGTGTGTGTGAAGTGTGTGAGAGATCAAAGCAATGCAGAAACACATTTCCTTTAAGTGATTTTCAAGCATCCAATATATTTGATTTAATACATTGTGATTTATGGGGTCCATATAGAACTCCCTCGTCTTGTGGTGCATCTTACTTTCTCACTTTGGTTGATGACTGTTCTCGAGCTGTGTGGATATATCTCTTGAATAATAAGAAAGATGTGTCACAAACCTTAATGCATTTCATCGCCTTAATAGAGCGACAATACGAGAAACAAGTCAAAATAGTACGAAGTGACAATGGAACTGAGTTTATGTGTCTTCAACGATATTTTCAGCAACATGGGATACTCCATCAAACCTCATGCACTGGAACACCTCAGCAAAATGGGAGAGCCGAACGAAAACATCGACACATCCTAAATGTAGCTCGTGCTCTACGATTTCAGGGAGAACTTCCTCTTCAATTCTGGGGAGAATGCATTTTGACCGCAGGATACTTGATCCATCGTACACCCTCAACCGTTCTCCATGGAAAAACTCCATATGAAATATTGAATGGGAAGCCACCCACTTATGACCATCTACGGGTATTTGGATGCTTGTGTTATGCACATAACCAAGATAGGAAAGGTGACAAATTTGCAAGTAGAAGTCGCAAGAATGTATTTGTTGGATATTCAATCGAAAAAAAGGGCTGGAAATTGTTTGATCTGGAAAGAGAAGTCTTCTGGACTTCGAGAGATGTTAAGTTTGTAGAACATGAATTCCCGTTTGCCTCTCTTGCCCACAGTAGACATTCAGAGGTAGGATTGCCTACTGTTGATGTTGGCATTGTCGAGGAAACATTGTTTGGACTTGGTGCAATGAACAATGCAGAACACGTTGTGGAGACTGATGACGTTAACCCCACAACGAAGATGTGCCCACAACCGAGTTCAGGGAGGGCCACGCCGAATGCCATGAACAAGAGCCTCCCACCCAGATCGTTCTCCCACCAGAACAAACCGACTCTATGATGACAGAACTAGAGGTTCCCTGAGGAGCATACTGTCCCTGCATCCCTGGGGAAAGGTCTTCGTGTACGAAAGCCATCTCGTGAAGCTTCGTGATTATGTCACTAACACCACTTTACAACTCTGGTCCCTCAATTCGCACTCCACATTCAGACTTCCTCAGGTATGCCTTACAGTTTGACAAAGTACTTAAATTGTGCTAAATTCTCCTTCCCCCACCGAACCTTTCTTGCAGCCCTTCATGCGAGAGAGAACCTGTGCATTTCTTTGAAGCTCGTTCGGGATGTTAGATGGAGAGATGCCATGGCTAGTGAAATTCAGGCCCTCCAAAGTAATGAAACATGGGACATTACTCCTCTACCTGCAGGGAAGAAGCCTCTCGGGTTGCAAGTGGATTTATAAAATCAAATATCATTCTCGATGGGAGCGTTGAACGCTTCAAAGCCCGATTAGTTGTCTTGGGAAATCACCAAGTTGAGGGGATTGACTATGACGAGACCTTTGCCCCAATGGCAAAGATGGTCACCATTCGGACAAGTGTTGGCAGTGGCGGTAGCCAAAGACTCGGGAACTCCATCAAATGGATGTCCATAATGCTTTTCTCGCACGGCGATCTTGAGGAAGATGTGTACATGAAAATGCCGCCAGGGTTCTTGGTGTCTCAAAAGGGTATGGTGTGTCGTCTCCGCAAGTCCCTTTATGGTCTTCGTCAAGCTCCTCGGTGTTGGTTTGCCAAGCTCTCAACTCGCTCTTGTTCAATATGGGTTTCAACGTTCTTCGTCTGATCACTCCTTGTTCATCTTTCGCAAAGGAGATGTCGAACCGGTTGTGTTAGTTTACGTGGATGACCTAGTCATTGCCGGCAATCATCATGAAGACATTGCGCAATTCAAAGATTATCTTCATCAATGTTTTCGTATGAAGGACTTAGGGAAATTAAAATACTTTCTTGGGGTGGAGGTTGCCGGATCTCCTACAGGAATTTTCTTGTGTCAACTGAAGTATGCGTTGGACATCATAGCTGAAGCAGGATTGCTTGGAGGGAAACTCGTGTCCACGCCAATCGAAGAAAATCATCGTTTAGCATTGGCCGATGGCGAACTACTTTCTCGACCCGAGTCAATATCGACGCCTCGTCTGGTCGCCTTATTTACTTGTGTTTTACACGACCTGAATTATCTTACGAGTGTTCATGTCCTATCTCAATTCATGCACCAACCGCGTCAGGAGCATCGGCGGGCTGCACTCTGCGTGGTACGCTATTTAAAGGGCAGCCCGGTCGTGGTGTGCTTTTAAAAAGAGAGAGTGACCTTCGTCTTTATGGTTGGTGTGACTCTGACTCGGGCAAGTTGTCCTCTCACTCGAAGATCTCTCACCTGGTTGGTTTATTTTCCTTGGTCAATCCCCCGTTTCCTGGAAAACCAAGAAGCAACATACGGTTTCTCGATCATCCGCTGAGGCGTAATATCGTTCTATGGCCAACACGACATGTGAGTTGAAATGGCTTCAAGGCCTTCTTTCGAGCCTAGGCATTACTCACACCGACCCTATGACTCTCTACCGTGACAATCAAGCCGCCCTTCACATTGCCAAGAATCCTGTGTTTCATGAACGGACAAAACATATTGAAGTGGATTGTCATCTTATTCGTGATGAAATACAACACAATCATATCCAACCCTCCTATGTGTCCACTCATCATCAACTGGCTGATCTCTTCACCAAATCTCTTGGCGCCACTAAATTTGGTTCTTTTTTAGGCAAGTTGGGCATTCATAACCTTCATACTCCATCTTGAGGGAGGGTGATAAACATAGAATATACGATTACAAATACCGTATCATGCCATGATTCTACATGATTAATTTTTTCCATATTTAGCTTGGCATGACAGCGATGCACAGTGATGCACATTAATGTCATATCTGTTAATAGACAAATTTAGGATACCGACTATAATGGTTAGCGTAATTATAGTCTAGAATGTTTCTGTATTTCATGTATATATTGTGCTATCATATTCAAGGGAAGGATTTTTGGAAATATTTTTATCAACATGCAAAAATATAGAAAACATAATTACAGTGTATGTGAGTGTAAATGTTGATAATTGAGAAATATTGTAGTGAATACCAACTAGGTATTCTTATATGAATATGATGCGGTGTGTAGGTATTGAATTAAGTATTTAACGGAAGATATTATAACTTTACTTATTAGAATCATATAAATAAAAAATTAAGTGATAAAAATTGATGAAAATTTATCATGAATTTGTGTTAAACACTTGGAAAAACCATAATGAGATGTATATATTTGAGTTTAAATTCCATCTAATATTCTTAGTGACGTGTAGAGTAATAAGTGTGCATATACCTTATGTGTATAAAAAATTGGAGTAATCCAATAAACATGTGAGGGATGAATTTATATGTAAATTAATATTTATGAAAGACTTAATTTGTATAATTTATTTTAAATTATTACTTTATCTTGTATTATTATTATTATTATTTGAGTTATTACAAATGATTCAGGTTATATACTTTTCCAAAATTAACTAAATTAAGTATGGAGCTATTGTAGGAATTTGTTTTTCGTAAGTTTATTATTTCTCCCTGAGTATAGATTCTGATATATAGGATTTTTTTTAAAGAAAAATTATGAATATATAACTAAATTAGATTAATTTTTTTTTCTCTTTATCAATTTTTATAGATAAAGAAAACTCTAAAAAAATAAAAATTATTGTAAAAGGAAAACATTATTAAAATATTTTATTATTATTTTAAATTAAAATAAAAAATCGAATTTGATTTAAACTGAAAAATACTTTTTTTTTTCCTATTAGTGGACACTATCCATAACTTAAGAGAGGTGAACCTGGTGCGAAGAGTTTAGTAGTGCAGTAGGGGACCTTGCTAGTTAGGGGCTGTTCTGCTAGAAGTAGAGCAAGTTGTCGGCTGAGACACAAGCTGGACCATGTATTCTGCTTAGGGCTATTCCATGTGTGGTAGGGTATGCTTGTCTCCCTCTTTTGTCTTATGCAATTTCTCCTATATAATCCTATTTAGTACATTTATATAATATTTTACATCAAATTTTATTCATTGTTATAAATAAACTTCAATTTTAACTTTTTTATTTATAGATAATTTATAAAAAAAAAATCATTTCCTCTCTGCCTGCTTAACAACATAAAATTTTCAACATAACTTTTCTTTTTCAAGTCATGATATATTTAAGCCAAAATAAGTTATCTAATAACAATCATAGATATATTATATTTTTAGGAACAAGATAAGCTTGAAATTCAGAGCAAGATACAAATAAAGAAATCGATGAGATTATTAACTATAATAATCAATTATTTTGACATTGGAGAAACAAGTAATGATTATAATATTAAGTTGATTATACATGTTGCACCGAATATCTCTCAATTTGATTCAAAAATTTCTTTCAAAGTTTTTTTAATTAATCATTAATCAATGCCCAAGGTGAAAATACATGGTCTTAGATAGGTTTAACAAAACAAATTTGTATAAACTTCTTAAAATTTTCCTTTAGAATATTTTAATTGATTAATTATTTTTTTAGTATGTTAAAATTATTGAAGTAGTAGTTTAAGTGATTAATTAATCCGTTCAAAATCAATTATAAAGCATAAAAATTTTAAGATACAGTTTTATAAAAATCGATCGAGAATTATAATCACTTATATAAAATAATATTGTATAATATTATTATATTTTTGTCAATGTGAAATTTTTTAACCCATCTTCTTATCATATTTTTTTATATAAAAGATGATATTGATCTAATGATAATAGGTGATTTTCACGATTAATAATTAATGTCTTAATATCTTTAAAGTTAATAGTCTTAAAAACAGTGAAATATATAATTTAATTTCATAAAATAAATTCAATAAAGTAATATATATTAAAATATTATCGTGATTAACATATATAATTAAAATACAATATAAAAATGAAAAACAAGTTTCACTTTTTTACAATCATTCACTTTGATTGAGCTTGTGAGATTTAAAACCCTACCAGTTTTTGAATATTTTTTATTTTCCCCTATCGATCCAACTTTATTTTATTTTTATAAAACACTTTCATTTCGTTACCTAAGTGAAATTGAAATTAAATAATTCAATTTATCCAAATAAAAAACCACATTATCTTATTTTATTTCAGGAAAATGCAATGTTACATGAAGACTTACCCTTTTTGTCGCCATCAAATCTTGTTGAACTTTGAAAGTAATATACATAGAGTCTCCATTTTGAAGGCAAATTTTTCAAAATTTAGTCAATATGATGAAAGTTCAGTCATAACGTCTACCTAAATATTTGAGTCCATTCAATATGGGTTGGAATGTTCAAACATATTTTTTATGTATTTATTTTTCTTTAACATCTCATAGTCCGTAACAGATAAATTGATTTTGTTACCATTTACTTACCAATGTAATCATCGTACACTAACGCAAAAGTGTGTCACAATTGCTTCAAACTGTGTGTCTTGGTAAATACTTCCTCGTATCAAATTATTACAAAATAAATATGTTTTGTTGTGTCTTATATCTTACATCAACTATTTTTCGTACACATTTCTTCACTACCACAATCTTAACTAGAATGTGTATCCAAAATAATCTTTTACGAAATTATTCTCACACACAAACAATTTTTAAATGAAACGATTTTTGCTTCTCTATGGGGCAGAGAAACTAATAACCCTATTTTTTTTTTATACATATTTTTTATAAAACTCTTCGTTAATCATTGTGTCACCTAAGAAATTAAGGAATAAAATATTTTGCTGGAAAATAATAAAAAACAAATACTTATATTGAATATTAAATCGAAAACATGTTCAGTTATATATAGTGAAGTGTATTGATATTGTAATAATCGATTCTTAATCAATATTAAGATATTGGTTCATGGTTTAACCTTTTTAATAAAAAATAATTTTAATGCCTTATACGCTTTTCGAATCTGATACATGTCTACTTCTAATAGAAATTCAAATCATGATTATTCTAGAAAAAAAAATTAAGTTATTTATATTATTAGATATTAAAATTAAGTGTAATATTTTAATACATACATGATTATATACTAGAAATTTCTTCTAGTAAATTTTGCTTTCCGATTTTAAAAAATAGTAAAAAAATATTATTAATTTCCTTATTTTGAAATGAAATTCTTAATTTTGATACATAATTAAGAGTTAGTAATAAAAGGATTATCACTAATATTAATTTTGTTATTGAAGTTTCACTTTTCATTTGTTTAACATTGTATTCAAGATACTATTTAGCACATCGATAAACTTATTCAAGATTCGATTTAATCAATACAAATTGATATAAAATTATTTCAATTAAACAACAAGCTAAAAATTGAACATTAATTAGCTAAATAGTCAAAGAAGAAAAGTTTGCCAAAATAAAAACTGTCTTTCATAAAGGTTTTAATCATTAAAAACAAACATTACTTTCTTGAAGATAATGAATAATAAAAATAATTTTTCGTTTATTATTTATATTTAATTTATTAATTAAGAATCGAATAATATATATTTTTTAATGAAATAAAAATATTTGTACTTATAAATGGAGCCAATGAAGCATATCCAATTCCCTCTGAAGTCGTTTTAGCAACCACATGTTCTGTGTGAAATCTCTTTCAACCGGACAAATAGAGACCAAATGATTTTTTAAGGAATAGAAGAAGGAAAATCCCAACTCAAGGCAGTGTTTCAATATTCATTGCATTTACACACAACAGGTGATGAGTATGACTGTGTGAGAGAGAAAGAAAGGGAGGTGTCATCATGAGTCAGTGTTTGTTAGTTTATCAAGCTATATTTCCACAACCATATTCTGGAATCTGAAACAACAACAACAACAACAAAGACAAGAACAAGTGAAGAGGCTAGACCAGATCCTCTCTCTTGTCCCCATGTATGATTTCTTCTTTGTTTCTTTGCCTTTTTTATCTTCGTGTTCACTGCTTTTCACCAATTTTAATTTCAAGCTTCGGCTTCATCGCTGTGACAATTGCTTTTCATCATAACATGGAGGTTACGTTTGTTTCTTAATATGTCACCTTGTTTTCCTATTTCCCTTTTGAAGAAAAACCATCTCCTTTCTCATAAGGTTCTTTCTTCTTCTTCTTTTTTTATATATTTTTTTTTGGTGTAACATGGTGGTTTAGCTTCATGGAAGTTATAAGATAAACTTTCCATGAATCCTGGATTCGGTGATAGAGTAATCTCTTTCCTCTTTCCCCCTTGAATTCTAGCTGTCACATCTTGGCCATTTTTAGGTTTCATTCTGCGTACAGCAATATATATATATATATATATATATATATATATATATATATATATATATATATATATATATATATATATATATATATATTCAATTTTGTAGTTTGTTTACTCCTCCAAGTTATTCTTTCTAGGAAACTACAAAAGGCACAAGATATTCTCCTGTTCTTTATTCTTTGCTTCACAGACAGTGGATATGATCAACATGCTTTTCATTTTTTTCATTTGTATATATATATATATATATACCCTAATCTTAAACATTTTTAAAAATCTGTGCTTCATTTTGGCAAGCAATCATAATTTTTTCACATCTTAATTTTCTCATATCACCTTATCTTATGTTTGAAATTCGAATCCAATGATTGATTTATAAGTTGCTTTTCACTTATTTATTTCGGTAGATATGTTTTTCTAGCAAAAAAAAATAAATAAATAAAAAGGAAATTAATTTGTGCATCAACTAACATCTCCATTGATTTTATATTTTCAACACGCATCTTTCAAACATAAAAATATAAAATTAAATCAATATATAGATAATAATATGATAAGAACTCATAGATCAAATCCAAAATGTAAAATGATATCATAATCTATCTTAGATTGTTACTTACCATTCCTAAATGATTAATCTTACAAACTTTATGCTTTAAATGCTTGATTGTAAATGCAAGAGATACGTGTATTACAGATATGTGTGCAAGAATAAAGATGGACATGAATTTTAATTTAAATTCTTAGATGTAATTTTTCATACTTATTTGTTTATTTTCATATTTCCTTCTTTCGTAGGGTGTGACTTGATTCTTCAAGAAAAAAAAAAAAAGAAAAAAAGAAGAGAAAATCCTGAATTCCTATTGGAAAATAACTGTGCTTATTTTAGTTATTGTTCTCACCTACTCTTTCTTTCCAATCATACGTTCTCATTAATGCCTACATACACAAGTTTGAAAATAAGATACAATTATACTATACCATGTATTAAATTTCGAATTATTAGACTAACCTACCAACAAATTTGGTTCACGTACGTATAATTGGGAGGTGCAGGTCTAATTATGAAGAGATTGCAGAGCTGATATGGGAAAACGGCCACGTATCCATGCATGGCCTTGGTGGGCTTCAACCCACTACTACTCAGGAAAAGCCCACAGTGAGCAGGGCCCACAACACATTAGAGTCAATTGTTGAACATGCCACGTGGCAACCTTATCAACCGTCGAAATTCACTGGGGAAGGCCATGACTCTGGTACGAATGATAGTATAATAAACTCCATTGGTGCACCCTACGGTGAGGTTCAAGCTATGCCCTCGTTGACGAAGAAGAGAGCGTGGTCCAACACCAACGACGACAACAAGAAGAACATGTTGGAAGAATGTGACATCCTGAGTGGTTGTGCTAGTGCTGGTGCCACCTTTTGTAGGGACAATGAAACAACCATGATGACATGGGCCTCTCTTGAATCTGGTCGGAGCTTGAAGACCATGGAGGAAGATTCACCTTGTCACTGTGGATCGGTAAGATACTCAAGTTTATGCATATAGGTTATATTATAAAGACTTCTAAAAAAGAAAAAAATTTAAAATAAAACAAAACAAAACATATTTTCTATAATTTAACATGGTCTTAATGATTATTAATTAAGATGAAGCCATGGTAATCTATGTTTAAATCTAACCATGCAGGAAATTCGAGATAATCAAGATGACACAAACAGCAAAGCAGAAATAGGCCCCAGAAGGCGAGGTCGAACTGCTGCCATCCATAACCAATCTGAGCGGGTTGGTAACTCTAAACATATATGGCTAATAAATAATCCTTAATCATTCATCTACAAATTGAAAACAACACCAAAGAAAAAAAGAAAATGGTTCTGTTTGATTTGTTCAAATCACTAACATATTTTACTATGATTTTTCGGGTTCCAGAAAAGAAGAGATAGAATTAATCAGAAGATGAAGGCCTTGCAGAGGTTGGTGCCTAATGCAAATAAGGTGAGAACAATAGTCAACCCTAATAGGCTATTTCTTTCACATGTGTTATTGATTTAACTCACTTCTTTACATTTTTGTTATTGCAGACAGATAAAGCTTCAATGTTGGATGAGGTGATTAACTACTTGAAGCAGCTTCAAGCACAGATCCAAATGATGAACATGACAAGCATGCCCCAAATGATGGTGCCTCTGGCCATGCAACAGCAGCTGCAGATGTCAATGCTAGCCAGAATGGGTGCTGGTGCTGGGTTTGGCATGGGAATGGGGATGATGAACATAAACAACATAGCAGCAGCCCAGACAAGTGGCCCAAGGTCACTCCCCCAACTCCTTCAACAAACACCAACAGTTGGAGCTCCACCTCCTGCCACTGCTCCTGTCTTTTTTGCCCCTTCCTTCATGATGCCTCCCATGATCCAAGCACATGCCCCTGCACATCCAAAGCCTCAACCTGCATCCTCAGGCACCATTGCATCAATTCCTTTGCCTCATCCATACAGTGCTAATCTCACCCAAGTATGTTATCTCATGCATGTTAGCTAGGCACATATTTTAATCACTTTGAGAAGTTTTAAAAGCACACATAATTTACATTATTAACATTCACATTTATTTGCATCCTTTCATTTCATGTTAGTAAAAATTATGTACGGAGAAACTTCTTCATAAAAACTTTTAAGAAAAGAATAAAAAAGAAAAAGATTAAAGAATTTTTTCACCAGTTAAAAGTAAAAACTTGTATGAGAGAGTTTATATAAATTAAATAATACATAATCAAATTTTAACTTGTGGAAAAATGTATTTAATTTTTTTCTTATTTTAACTCAGAATTTTTTTGAAGAAGTTTGTCCATATATATTTTTACGAAAAGTAGTTTGAATAAGGTTTTTCATACGTACTTTAAGAGGAAAAAGAAAGTTACACAATTGGTAAAAGTTCTTATAATATTTTTAGATTTTTTATTTCAATTAAACATAAGCTAGTTTTAACTTATATGGAGAAATTATTTATTTTTTTAGAATTGTTTATAAACAATCTGTTTTAAAGAAGTTGTCCATGATGAGAATCATGTTGGAATTTAAAGTCTTTTAATCATATAACAGTAAAAGATTAGGTTACACAAGTCATGCTAATATTAAGAAAAACTTAAACAATTGTTTTCTTAACTGTAATATCTTAAACACAGTTGTAAACATTTATCTGAAAAAAGAAGTTATTTTAGAATAAAATAATTAAGAACATAAAGTAAAATATTCATTATAAAAATAGTTTTCCCTGTCATTTACTTAAGACTAACAAGAATATATTGGTGCAGCCAATAAATATGGATATCCTTAGCAACATGGCAGCACTTTATCAACAACAGATGAGTCACAGCAATCATCAGGCCTTCAGCAGCAGCATGTTCCAACCCCAGAAGCAAAGCCGTTGAGAATAAATCAAGCCAAACACTTGTGATAGAAGGAGCGCATTATTCAGCACAATTGGATTTTGATTGGAGTGATTTGAATGAAAGTTAAAACTTTTGCTCAAACCAACCTTTGTTGTCTCTCTCAAGGAATTATGCATACTGATAAATTACATTCAGTTTCCACAGGCATAAATAAATTATGCAGAACAAATTCTGTTTCTAATAGTTTATCTCTCTCTTTGTTTTATAAAATTATGAACAAACTGATTAAAATGTAAAATAATAAATAAATATAAAAAGTCTTATAATATTTATCTGTTGCACCTGTTACGAGGTTTAAGTATCTTCTTCTCTTGATACTATAATGTCTCTTTTACCTTCTTCTTCCTCTTTAGTCGAGTGCTTGTAATGACATTCAAAAGTTAAGAATTGTGTTATAAGGTACAAGTTAGAGAGATAGAGTAAGAAAAGTGGCTAACATCTTTGTATTCATCCATTTATTTACTTAGAAAAAATATCGTGTTTAGGAAAATTAACGTATACGATTACATTTTCTTCTATATTTGAAATGGATCCTGACTTGTTCATTGATTAAGAGATATACAAGTCTCTTAATCATTTTAAAAACTTTATTTGATAAGCAGTTTTAGGTTTTCGATGGTATTTCTTCAAATATATTTTGTCCATCTCTTTAGTTTTTTTTTTTTCACTAAGCAGGTTTTAGGTGAAAAATTGAAATACCCATCTCTTTATTGCCACTTTTTGAATTATTTTCTCCTAAAACACAATTCTTAACTAAAAAAAATTAAAATGTAATATAAATTAAAGTTTATTGCCATCCTTTAACAAATAATTTAAGTGAAAAATTGCAGTCGTTTTTGTTATTAGACAGAGGCAAATTAACATCATTAATTAATGTTATGTATCAATAATATTGAGTAAATAAGTGATCCACTCGTGAATAATATCCATATCTACATAAATAAATACGGTTAACGTTCTCGAATAGAAATCTCTAATAAAAATAATTCGTTGCTTATTTTGAAAAATTATAAAATAAGAACTGATGCTACATCATTTTAAAAAAAATTTAATATTGATTTTACTTTATTGAATTTTTTTTAATAAATTTAAAAAACTCATCTTTTCTCGTATTCTCTCTTTATTTATTCTAATCTGTTAATTGTTGCAAGTTATTTGATGAAATAAGAACCAACTTATCATACCACATATAATTCCTTCAATAAAAAATTACTTAAACCACTAATATTTTATTTAATACCTAAATAAACAACTTTCATTAAAATGCTATAATATCTTTATTTTTCATTTATTCATGAAAATATATGTTCCTTCACTAATTCATTATGTTTTAAAGTGTTAAAATTGGAGTTTCACTTCTATGGAATACTAATAATTAGGAAAAACGTTAAATTAATCTTTTAATTTCTTAATTAGTGTAATGTTATATTTTTAGTCTTCCCTAAATTTTTTTCTTAGTTAACTTTTAAATATCTCAAGATGGTAATAGTCTTTCGTATATTAATTCTACCAAAAATTCTTCAAATATCACAATTATTTAATTTTAATATCTCAAAAACATTTCATAAATCAAATCATGAAGAGATTAAAATGGCATAAGTAACATCTTAAAAACTTAATTGATATAAATAAAATTCAGAAATAAAACGTTGCACTTTCAAAAGTTTTCATGAGACAAGGTCCTAAATTATCTAAACTAATTAGTTTCATGTCAAAGGTTTATGCATAATATCTTGTGACGTAAACTTCCAAAGCAAGGAGCATGGAGTTGAAAATCCAACAATTTGTCCTTTATGCAATACTTTTAAAAAATCTCAAAAGATGAATTGAATGTAAGAAACTAAGAATATAAAATCAATAATATGATTATGAAAAGAAAAAGAAAAAAAAACCGACCATGAAGTATAATTTCTAAGGCATTTATGGTTAGTGTCGAATCACACTTAAAATGAGAGGTTGTTATTTTGTAAGGGTCAATTGTAAGAAGATAGGTACATAAGATCATTCCAACAAGGGATAGGTCGTAACACTGCCATTGTCTCTCTGCATTAAATGGGTTTGACTAATAATCAAACTCAATCTCATATAATGAAGAGGATCACAACACAAGTAGTATTTCTTGCTTATTAGGGATAACAAAAAATTCTCACCCCAAAATATTTGGGAGTAAAATTCAAAATAAATACTAAATGATTTGATACTGGATATTATTATTAGTAATTTTTATTTAAAAAATAAAATTATAATCATGAAAAAAAATAAAAAAAAACTAAAATTTATAAATGTGAAGGATGAGGGGGAAGTAGGTAGAAGTAACTAGAACAGTGGACCGTAGCTGGTAGCTGGATTGATTGTGGTGCATATTATTGAGAATGCTTTAGCATCACATTCATTCAATCCCAGTTAAACCCCCACCACATATACCCACACTATGATTAGTTGCCATTGTTAAATCAGCAACACAATAACAAAGATTAATATAAAATTTTGGTCTTTATATATTTATCACTTTTTTAAATTAACTTTTATATATGAAAATTTATTTGTATATGTAAAATATAATCGTCCAAGTTCTTACACATAACAAACTTTAAAAAACTAACCCAATTGTTTAGATTACCACGAAATAATAATTAATAAATAAAAAAATATAAAAATGTAACAAATTATTAAAATGTTTAAAATATAAACATATCTTATTCAATATATAATAATAATAATAATAATAATTTATTTTAATATTTATTAGAAATTATTAAATAAGAAATTAAAATTATAAATATATAAATAAATATATTCAATAATTATTACATTAAGATAAATTTAAAAATATAAAATTAAATATATTTAATTATCATTAAATTTTGAATGATAATTATAAATATACAGCAATATACAGGTTACATAACTTTTAGTATTGACCTAAATAACAAATTGAAGATTTACGAATATATATCTCACATTTAATAAACTGCATATCATGAAGTATATTCAATGAAAAATATACTTTTGTTAATAATTATAACTATTATATTATTTAATTAAAAAATATATTGATATTAAATATATCTTTCTAAATTATCTCGTCAAACCAATGCACCTTATTAAAATCACTGTAGGAAATCACCATTTATGTCTGGCTATTTACATACAAATGTTTTCACAGATATAAATATGTAACAAAATTATTATTTATTACAAATCAAGAATTATATATATATATATATATATATATATATATACCTCTTTTTAAATATATATTTTATTATATGAATATTTTTAGATTTTTATTTATTAATTAATATTTTTTTAATTAAATAAATTAAGAAAATCATTATAATCATGTATTAAAATATTATAATATATTTATATTTTTTAATAATATTACATAAAAATTATTATTTTTCATTTTAATTTGAATATATTTTTTTAAAAATTAGCTTATTTCACCTAATCTTAAACGGACAAATCAAAATGAAAATGAGCTAGGATTACCAATTTGACTTATTAATTTGAAACTGTATGATTCCACTGTTCTAATTTGTCATACAATTCATTAATCTCATTAATTTTGTTACATACAATTTTTTATTATTATTTTATTATTATTATTACATCATTTAATATTTAATATGTAAAAACGTTATTACATATGATATATTTCATAAATTTTGTTATAATTAATTTTGTGAAATAAAATCTTTTACCGATATTAAAATTTTATGATATATATATATATATATATATATATATATATACATATTTTAATATTAATTTTTTTAATATTATGTTGATACGATAAAATATGATATAAATATATTAATATTGATAGATTGTCAATATTTTCTTGATATGATAAAATTATTTTAATATTTACAATTTTTTAATACTTTATATAACTACATATCAAACAAATATTATAATATTAGTATATTTTCAATATTATCTTCATGTAATTATTATGATTAATTCCCATAGATATATTTTATTTTATTTTTTTAAATTATCTTGATAGATTAAAAAAATGAAATATACATCCACTATCTTTAACCTTAATTTCTACCCGAGTAAATCTACTACACCAAAATAATATACAATTACTTAAATACTATATAAATACGAAATAAAAATTTTAAATTCTTACTATATTTCAACATTTTTAAATAAATATTATTTTTTAATGTTTTTTCTTTAATTTCAATAACCAATTATGACATCTACCTATGACAATACCTTATTTTTCAATCAGTAAGATATTTTTATTTTAGTTTAGTATTATAAAATTAATATTAAATTAAAAATTTGTTGAAAATAATTAATTAAAGAATTATAACATTTATTTTATTTTTTAAGACAAAAAATATTATATTAATAATAATAATAATTTATTTAAGTCACTATAGTATCAAAATAAAACACACACAAAAATCAATTTTATAAAATAAAATTAATACAAAGTGGTAAATTATAATAAAACAAATCTAATTAAAAGTATATATTATTGTTTATTTAATGATATAATCTTATATTATTTATTTACTATTGCATATACGTAATTTTAGTTTTTCACTCGTGTAAGTTATACATAATATTCTTTTCGTATATGGGACAATTTTTTTCTTGATTTTTAAATTCTATTTTCAAGTCATTTCATTATCACGTAATATTTAATAGACGCATAAACAAAATTTCTGTTTAAATAACATTTATGCCACTCACACGATTAAAAATTAATGTTAACTTAAATTTGAGTTTACATTTTATTATTATTTTAAAATAAAAATAAACTCACTACTAAAAATTCTCATATTTCATAAAAATATTTTTACCAATTTTTTATAACAATTGATAAGAAATAAGTTTCTTACAAATTTAAATACTTTTTTATAAAAAAAATTATAAAAAATAATTAATTTTTTTAATAATGAATGAAAAAATATTAAATTAAATTTTAAATTATTATATTATCAGTCTATATAGCTTATTTTTAAATAAAATAAAAATA